TCCAAACTGCTGCAACAACTGAACAGCAGCCGTTCCTTCAGGTCCACCATCGAAGAGAGCTTTAAGCAGGGCATCGCGCAGGGTGACATAGTCAAACTCGTGAACTCCCTGAAAAAATACCAGAATAGAAGACACCTACTGTTTGAAATTTCAATTCTTTATTCACCTCGTTGGAACATATGATCAAACTTTCTTGCTTTCAATTGATTGTCATGGATGTGGCAATACTCTTGCTATCAGGCCCTGCTCTGAAGGTTGTTCTTGCAATGCCTAATTATACAAAAATCAAAATATGCTAGAAAAGAAAAAAAGTGTAATAACCTTCTCTGAGATCGCAGTGATCGCCCACGCATTACCAGCAACCTCCAGATCATCCTGGAAAAATGAGCATATTGGAATAATAGCGGGAGTTGTAAGCAAGCAAAAGAGACAGAAATGAGAAAAGCTGATCATCGACTCACAATGAACCTTAGAGTGCGGATGATATAGATCTGACAGAGCCAAGACTAGCTGACGACTCGCAGTAGCCATAACGCATATACCTGGGATGGAAGAACTAGAAAATTAGGCAGAAAAGGATGTAAAAATTAGTATAATATGATAAAAAACATCCAGAAAATCTTAAAAAAGAATGCGGACAGACAAAAACTAACTTTCGTCAGCGTAAGCTATAGAAACTCCCTGGGGAGTATCTCGGTATACAGAGGTAGGAGCAAGTCCTGGTGAGAATATAACATGTGCTACTCGGAGACACTGCGGCCGAACTTCTTGTTGGGAAAGGCTCTAAAAATAAGTCGTGACAAACTAACTTCGATAGAAACTTGAGTTGACGATAACTTAGACGTTATCTGCGACAGATACTGGCCTTGTTGATTAGGCGCAGGAACAGTGCGTGCTAATACAGAAAAGTATATCCGAACTCCTTTGGTGGTGATAGGAACCAGACTGAGCTGATTCGATCGTACTGCTTCGAGGGCACATATCGTCGCAATATTCGTAAATGTACTCTCCTCGTGTCCGTGCCTCGCTCTATCAAATTTATTCTCAACAAAGTAAAAACAAAGCTTAACTACACTTATAGCTATTTGCCCAGCACTCACTACGCAGACTCTAGAGCACTGACTGCCATCAGCACCAAGGTCGAAAACCTGAATGAGAGGTGGTTGTAACATTAATTTGAAAATTGAGCTACTAAAAAGAAACATTAGATACGACTTTCACCTGAATTGAGCCGTTCTTGCCCAGATAGTAAAGTATATTTCGTGATTTGTCGATAGCTATCTGTTCCAGATCCTCTGAAATTAAAAAAATGTAGTTTTAGCATCAGAAAAAGCATGAATACGGTACTATTTCCAACAAATAAACGGAGACTTAGCGATTGCAATGAATTTTTTCCAATAAAGATATCTAGGAACGAAATGTAAGAAAAAGTTGACAGAAATGAGAAAGGCTCACAAATAATAGAACACTTACCACTCCCAGGTCCGAGAAATGGGATCAGGGTGCTCAACAGTGTGACTGACTGATTGACCACACGACACTTTCGACCTCCGCCGAACCAACCAGTGTTGTGCTAAAGAAAATTCCATGATATCAAAGATTAGAATTTAGTAAACTGGGATTCTGACAGAAATAGAAAATATGGACAGAAGAAAAAATAGAAAGGACACTGAAAATGAGACAGAAAACAAAAATAGCTAGAAATTTCACCTCATAGACGAATTCATAGAGCCGATCGTCAGCAGTGAAGAATATCCTCCCATTATTGGTGGACA